ACAGGAAACAAAGCGGACCTGGTCGCGCGTCTCAAGGAGCATGACGAGGCCAATGGCACTGCCGAACCCCAAAGCACAGAGAAGGAGTCAAACCAAGAGGCGAATGCTGAAGGTCAGTCGCGGTCAGCACTCAACACCCCGAGGACACCAGCTAACATCTCCCGCAGCCGCGCCAAAGGAAGATTTGATCAGCTACTCAGACGATGAAGCACCCGCCGCCAAGCCTGCGCCTGTCGAGGCTGCTGCTGCTACCGCCGACGCCGCGACTGCCAACCCCAGTGCATCAAACCCCGAGGAGACCAAGGTCCCTGAGGGGGAACCCGCCGCGCCTGCCACTGAGGAGGCGAAGCCTGAGCCCGTGTCCTTCGCTGCCGGCCTCGCTGCCTCGTCCGCGTCCGACGAGGCGAAGAAGCGCGCCGACCGCGCCAAGCGCTTTGGCATAGAGGAAGACGAGGAGAAGAAGAAGCTCGCCGAGCGCGCGGAGCGATTCGGTGTCCAGGAGGACGCTGTCAGCGGACTGGACTCTGCGCTTCCCGACAGGCCCCTGAAGAGGGGACGTGGGAGGAACGCGGAGGCGGACAATGCGCGACCCAACAAGCGACAGAGCCAAGATCGCAGAGGCGGGCGACGGGATGGACGTCGGGGTGGCGCTGATGCTCCGACTGGCAACAAGCCTGCGGCGGCCATGAAGTCGAGCATTCTCAATGATCCCGTCGAGAAGGCCAAGGCGGAGAAGCGCGCTGCCAGGTTCGGCGGTGCTTGATGTTCATCCGGTCATCTTCGGCCCATGATTTGCTACACTAGGTGTTAATGACAAATGATTAGGTAGAGGCGCGCTCGCACACGACGAGATACTATGAGTGTACACTAGGGTAGCGGAATAAAGGAACACGGCGTCTCGGCGACTTTGCGTTCACCGTGATGTGCCCCCTTGCCCCCTTTGTGACATTGATGCGGCGTGTGTCGTCACAGGTTTCTATCATGTTTATCGAGAGCGCGAAGGCGGACGCGGCGTCCGTAAGGAGCATGGCGCACAGCGAGGACGTAGCTGAGCTCATCAGAATTGGAAGTTGTCGTCACATGGCTGAGCCCGAGGTGGTCCCGTAGTGGCCGCCTTGAGGCCATTGATCAGGGCCGCGACGATCTCTCCGGTTCATTCGGGCCTAACGAGGTCATGTGTTGCGGGCGAAGCCGTCATTGACGGGAAGATCCTCAACGGGGATCTATCTAGTGTCGTTGATGGGCGCTTAGGGCTGGGGATGGACATGTTGACAATCTACGGGCTACGTATGAGGCATTTTGCAAACTACAGAGTCATACACGCGGTCTGCAAAGATAAGTTTCAACCCTCGGACGAATCTAAAGCCAAGTGCTCGCGCTCAGCTACAGTCTGACCTCCCTTGCCGAAACGACTTGACGGCCGAGAACCAAGGGATCACATCCAAGGTCCCGTGATCTCGACGATAGGGCCAGGAGCCGCATCGTTTGCTAGAGCTCTGAGCAGGTGATCAGTCTGCCGTGCCGCTTTGGGCTCCGGTGAGATAGATATTCTGAGCCGCCAAGATCCGTCCCATGCCCGCGTGCGGTCCGGTGCGGCGCGCGCGCACACACACAATCGAATCGCTCGCGTCTATCTCGCTTGACGACGGGCTCCGGTGAGAGGCCCAGCTAGCCACGGCTATGTTTCTCAACCAACCGACGACACCACCTCACTGCACGTGAGTGTTGCTCAATGTGAGCACGGACGCAGTGGTTGTCCCATCTGAGGAAAAGAAGGGTGATTCTTCTTACGACGATTCGTCGTTGGCGATATCCTGGGCGGTTTCTGGGGAATGACGGCTGGCCAATGAGCAAGGCGAGACCCTGGATCATCAAAATCGACCCCTGCTCAAGGAGGGTCGACTGCCGCGGAGGGTGTCGGTCCCTTTTCGAGACTTTGATACCGCCAACAAAAGTGATATCAAGTTGTCATTATCGTGAGGCCTTGAGAGCGGTCATCTGAGCATCTCCCAGAGACCATGTTCAAACTCTGAACTGTCGGTGAGGCAGAAGAACGCCATCGTCATGCCTTGGAAGGCAAAGTACCGATACTTCTGGGCCCAGGCAAGTGACTTGACAAGGATAATTCGATGCCCAGCATGTCGAAGCCACAGAGCCTCATGACCTCAAGCCACAGGACTTCTGCCACGTCAAGCCTCAAGTGTGGCGGAGTCCGCCATGCCCAGGAAAACGTGCATCGTCGCACCGGGGCGCAGCCTGCAGAGACCTCAGCTGGACCAGGTTTTCGTCCAGCGCATGAATGTAGTATGCAAGCTATTTTGAGAAAGTTTGCCTCCGAGTCTTGCCGTACACTGGGACAAACTAGAGGCGATCCAGTCCTGTGATGCCCTGGATCAGGATTGTGTGGGGTTGGCCTGAACAACGATGGACCTGCGATACGATTGTTGTACAGCATGCGTCGACTACTACCAACCCGACGCGATGGTCCATGTGGTGTGGAAGACCTGCAGCTCAGAGGCTCAAACGAAATCGATGCCTGCAGGCTTCATGGTTGTGGTGGTGAGGCGAGGTGCCTCGACTGTGGCTGAAGGGCTGGCTAATTCTGACTGGTTTGAATTCCCTGAATATCTACCAATCACATGCTACTGAGGCCACCAGGAGCTGAGTCTGGCGAATCAGCGCATGGAGAATTGATTCTTCGAAGACTGCCTGGCCCTCTTGGTCGTACTTTCCTCATTGTGCACTGCAGGTTGCAACAACCCCAGCCAGCGCGCGCAGGCAGCGAGATGATTCCCAATGATGTAGCAAAGCACCAACACGACAGGCTTCCACCGCGTTCGTTGATCGTGAGAGGAATGCCAAAAAGTCGTCATTGTTCATTGAATTGCACAACGCCCTCATAGGACCTATCAACTCGCAAGCGCCGGGATGTGGTGGTTGGTGGGCCTTGGTCGTCGATCCGCGGATAGGAGTCAGACCTGCAGATTCGCAAGCAGAGAGCTGCCGTCGGGCCAGTCAAGCCTGGCCTGTCGGATTCGTTCTCTCTGAGACCTGCTGCGCACCATCCTGGGCGCGCACACGGACCGGCATCGCTTGCGAACAAGATGGCTCGATAGTCTTGTACAATACCATCGCCTCGCGAGGATAGCGCACGGCTAACGACTAGCTAGACTCATAGGGCCATTCAATAAGCATGCGCCCAAGGTGACACCTTAATGGTCGTCAGGAAAGGGCCGCTTGCCGTCTACGGCTCGACCCTAGGTCCACTGACAGGAGATGAAGACAGACAGAGCCAGAGGCACAAGAGACTGGACGCGCGCCGCGTTCATACCAAGGCGGACCCCACCAACGAGGGCGCTTGTAGAGGGGGGCCGTCGTCCATCCGCCAATCCCTCCGGACCATGGTGCCCAATTGTAGCTCTGACTAGGCTGCTCTTCGTTCTTGTTGGACGAGTCGACATGCAAGTCCTGGAGGCGACCAAAATGGACGAGTCCCACATCGACGGCTCTGCATGAAGCATCGGCGACTCCAGATGTCGAGATGCGTGCAGACTGCAGATGTATTCGTCCCCTGGCTGCAACTACCAGGTACTTGCAGCTCCCCGTCGAGGGCGACACGGCCACTCATTGTGCAGCAAACCTCAGTCTCCTGTGCGTCTAAATACTATAGCGTACGCCTCGCGAGGACCTCTTCCTCTCCTTTATCATTGTCCCTTTCGTATATTCGATCCCGTGGTGCAATTTCATTCCCCTGCTCTGTCTTCCTCATTCTCTCAGCCAGCGTCGTTTTCGTGCAACCCCTCTTGGTGCCCGGCGTGCGTCAATCACTGCAGGATCACATATTATCGGCCATCCTCTACAGACCCAGCCCGGCGCCAAAAGACCTCCCGTCCAGCCCTCCACTACCTCGAGCCAGCACGGTCTCGGCTTAGTGTTTGCGACGGCGCTACAGGGGCCCATTCAGCCACGGCCGAAGTTCGAACGCTAGACAACTAACTACATTGCTATCCTCGTTCACGCTCGTCTCACGTCCTGGCTCCTGCTCTTGTTGTGGTCTCAGCCATATATCATCCTTCTGGTGCGTGGGCGTCGCTACATTGATGATTACTGCTCACTCTTTTAGGCTTGACATGACTGTATAGGCTCGGAGGCATGTTGGTGACATACTACGCTGCTGGTGGACAATCATGGCATCCCTCAGAACGGGATATGGACTGCCCGCCCGACCTAATGATGGGATACGAACACGGAGACCGAGCGACACAGGTCAGCCTGGGGGCATTCCCAGACCGGCAAACAGGGTCGTGACCACCGCGCAGGATACGAATGCACCAGTGGCGATGTCATCCACGTCAAAATTGCCAAGCAGAGTCCCTCAGCCTACATCAGCACCGCGACAATCTGGAAGACCGGCTGCGGCACGCCGTCCCTCACTCGAGCAAAAGTCAGCATCATGGGGATCAACAAGCACCAACCCCTCCAATCGTGCCGGGTCGCATGCCCAGAGCGGTTCAGGATCGTCAACGTCGAGCAGATCTCATGACAGTAGTAATCAGGCAGCCCCCCGACAGCTGCTGCGCCGGAAGCAATCATCAGTGTCGCAGATAGCACGGCCAGAATTACCACCGCAGAACTCCTACCCGCCGCCTCTTCGGACCAGAGGCGCAGTCGACTCCTTGTCTGACCATGTTAGGAAGCCTTCAACAGACAACACGATGTCGAGCCAACCTAATGAGGAAAAGTTAGGGCCGCGAGTAGGACTGGGACAATCCCCGGTCATCTACCCAGAGCTCGACCGCTACAGGCACCATCAGCAGTCGACAACATCAGAGCAAGTCTTTGAGTTGCCTTATAAGCTCTCAACACAAGACCTTCCGCCCCCTACACCTGCTAGCCTTTTGTTCTCGGGGAGCAGTAGCCAGCTCAGCGCAAGTCCCTCTACAAAGTATTCGGAATCTCCCGGCCCTGGCTCATACAGCCGCGACACCACCCCGACCTCAATGTCTTCTCAGTCACCCGGGATGGTGTCCTCGTCGCGTTTCCTGGGCCCCAAGCCGCGACAGCTCAGCCCAGCCTTGACCCGACCGCCAGTTACACGAAGACGAGCCGGCAGTATCCCAAGTGAGATGGACTCAATTGGTACAGACCCTCAAGGCTTGGCTGCTGTACGCGAGTCGACCAACTCGTCATCCTCTAGCTCGACGGTGAAAGATGGTGATCGGGGCACTAGAGAAAAGAAGTCCATGGCAGCCGTACCGCAGCCGGTACCCAACCCGCCGCCTCGCAAAGCCTCGCAAAAATTCCGAAAGAACAGTTCTGGCGAAGTCAAGACAACCATTGTCAAGCCAAGATCAGGGTCTACAGGCACTACGTCGTTGCAGAAGCCCGCAGCTCCCCCAACCCGAGATCAGACGTTGCAATCCCCGGCCAAACCTCCAACACCTCGTCGACCAAGCCGCGATGGAACCCCTGACATTCATTCGCAATTGCTCGGCCCGGCCCCGGTTGTGCACAGCAACCTGTCATCTACGTCGCTCCCAGCAGAGGGACGGCGTAGCGAGTCGAACGAGCTCAGGCCTACCCATGTTCGCACCCGAAATGCCTCCATATCCCAGCTTCCGACAGGCAAGGCCTCTACTTTGCCTTCAAAGCCCGTGGAGACTAGCAAAACCAAGACTCCCGAGCCTCCGCAACCGGCAACCCGCACACCCAGCCCCAATGTCGGGTCGTCTTTCCGATTCCCATTCTTTGGACGGAAGAAGACCGCAGCTCAAAGTCCACCCAAGGAAGCCAAAGAGAAGAAAGCCTTGCGAAAGGGACCGGCAGCTGGCACTGGCCACGAGGGCTACGGTCGCTTTGGCGCCGTGAAGCGACGAAGTGGCAGCAGCAACTTGTCCAGGGGCATGACGGGCACTCAGTCCTCCCAGGAGAGCCTGGTCAGCAACGACCCATTCTTTGCTGATCGCTTGAACCCCGTCGTCATCGCCGGGGGCGAGATTGTCGAGAATCGTAACCAGAGTTCCGAACTTAGCAGGACGACAAGCGATCTGAGTCTGCCGCGCCCTAGCACTGACAGTGCCAGCCGTACGACAATGTGGCCCTCCCCCGTTCTTCGCGGCTCGCCTTCACGACCTCCCACCCGCCGTCCGTCGGACAGTAGTGACTCCGAGGGCCCTCGGATGAAGTCTACATTGGCGTACCGCCGGTCAGTTCAGCGCCTACGCACATCTCCTGAGAACCCTCTGCGTCTACCTCAGCCTATCAGCACTGGCAGCAAGGCCTCTTCGCCCATGACCAGCTTTGATACGAGTATCATGTCAGACGACTCGCACTATGAGATGCAGCGCGAGGTCCTTCGAGGCCGTGCAGCCGCTCAGCCTGTGCCGAAGAAGCTCGTGAAGCGTGAACGCTCGCCTCGCAAGTGGAATCTGTTTAGTAGATCGCAGAAACAGGCAGCGAAGAAGGCTGATGCCGTCGTCAACGCTCCCGCCTCTGAGGCGGAAAAGAAGCCACCGGCCTTCTACACTTTGATGGACAACTCAGACCCTGACGTGGCTGTCGAGGCTGATATCCACGACGTCTTGCGCAATGCTGACATATATGTCCACACTCCCCAGCACAGCACAGCTGAACTGTCGTCCGTCGGACGTCGAACACCGGAGTCAGCGCCAGCGCCAGCGCCAACGAGTGAGCGCCCTCCTCTCCGGGCACAAAAGGTCTTCCACGATCCGGTCGTAGAGGACAAACAGCCCAAACAAGCAGTCGCATCGCAACCCCGACCTCCACAACCGGCGACGTTGCGCTCTGGGCGCCCAAGCAGACTGCAGCAAGTTGGCCGAATTCCCAAGGTCGTTAGCCACCGGCAACCCGACCAGTCTCCCAAGAGCTTTTCGAGACCGTTCCGAGCCAGCCTCCAATCTGCTCCCCGTCCTTCTGAATACCTAGATCCCGAGTATATCGCCAAGGGACCCAGCCCTCCTCAACCATCCTGCTCGACACCGGAACTTACCATGGAAGCTTCCACTGCCGAGACGGCGGAGAGCGTGACGAATGTGTCCTCTTCCTGCGACTCACAGGCCAGGGCATCCAATGAGGAAGAATGTCGGGAATTCTTGCGCTTCTCACCACGCAAGAATTCTGAAGGTACCGTCGATACGAGCTCCAGCTCTGGCATGTTCTCTCTCGGCGTGCCCACTGCTATTATCCCACGTCCGGAGGACCCCCCTGCGGAAGATGAAGTCTGGAACGAGTTTGATGATCTGCTCGGCGAGGACCAGCCCAAGCAGCCAGCCTCGGCCACGTCATCCCGAGGCACACCGTTTCACCTCGAGACATATCAGTCTAAGCTCAGCAAAGAGAAGCCCATGGAGTCGCCGACTCTGGCTGCCGATCGAGTCGTCTCCTCCCACTCGTTGGCACCCACGGCTTCGAGCTGCTACAGTGCTGACATGACGGAGCGCATTCGCAATGCCTTCCAGCCACATCCCAGCCCGCCCATGGTGCCCGAGGTCGACGAGAAACAGCAGCAAGACGATGTCAAAGCGCCAGTGTCGGTTCCCGCCCGCCCCCGCAGGAGCTTGTCGCCTATTGAGGAGCGCAACTCGGTCACCAGCTGCAGCTCCTCTGAAGACGGTACGCCTCTCGCACAGGTAAACTTGCGCGTGGGTTCCATGACGGTGAGCAAGTGGCTCACCTTTGGCCACGTGCTCTTTAGCGATGTACGCCATGAGCTTGTGGCGGAGGACGGCTCCCAACACCGACGATCCATACTCGTTATCGACGGCCTGGGCAACGACGACTGGTCCTTCTACGCCGCAGAGACATACCCCAAAGCGACCTTTTACAATCTCTCGCCACGTGCGCCGCTGCCCAACGAGGCCGCGTCGTCGCCCAAGAGCTTTCCCCTGAGCCCACCGAACCACCACCAAGTCCAGTACTTTTCTCACGATGAGAAGTTCCCCTTCGCCGCGCAGAGCTTCACCTCGGTGGTGTACAGATTTCCCGTGGCGGCACCAGAATCGCACTACCGCAACATTCTCAGCGAGGCTCGGCGTGTTTTGAAGCCCGGTGGTTACCTAGAGCTGTCGATACTCGACGTTGACCTCAACAACATGGGCACGCGTGGCCGTCGTGCGGTACGCCAGCTCAAAGAACGCATCCACGCCGCAGACTGTGAGAAAAGCCTGGCCTCAGCCTCTGACCTACTCGTGAAACTTGTCGCCTCGGCCGGTTTCTACGACGTCAAGGCTGCGAGGGTCGGCGTGCCGGTGGCCAGTCCCATCACCCGGACCCATGGCAACAGCATCAAGAAACAGAACCGCAAGGCGAACAAGGGTCAACCGAGCTTGTCGGACATGATGAGCGATGAGAGCGCCGGCGCCGACGAGAGCATCACCAAAATGGTGTCTCGTGTTGGTCGTTGGTGGTACTCCCGGTGCTACGAGAGCGCGACGTCCGAGCCTACATCTCTATGGAACGACAAGGCGCTTCTGAGGGAATGCGAGGAGCTGGGCACGAGCTTAAAGCTCATGGTCTGCTGTGGCCGTGCTCCCGAGCGCGTCCTGAGCGTGTAACATTCCGCACTCCCACCCCTTTTTTTATCCTTTTCTTTACAGATTGAAAGAAGTCGGCGCAAGCCCACATACATACATATATATATATATATATATATACACTGATCTACAGAAAGATCAGCGCATAGGTTGCTAGTCGACCTCGCAAGCATCTTGCATGCTACTACATCTGGAAGGCTCACGCCTGCTATCACGACGACAGATTCTTGTTTCTGCATAGCGCTTGTTTCTTCTTCACTTCTTCACTGCCGGGCGGATGGAGTCCGGTCACTGGCTGCTTGGTCCTTCACTTGGCGAATTCTTGAGAAAGGGTTTGGGCGAAATATTGATAATGGACCGCGCCCTCTCTGGAGGGATGCAATGGCTGGCCCCTTGCACTGCAGTGCAGGCAAGCCTCGGATGGATGATGATCACGAAAGGGCACGAATTATGATGGCATTTTCCAAAAACACCACTTGCTGCATATGGCATCGAGATACCCTGATTTATAGTAATGGCAAGACCAGTTGAAGATCCCACAGATGCTCTATTATTCTATCTTGTCCCCTCACAAATCGTACATGTAGTCATACGTCCATCATGAGCTTCAACTTTCCGCACCTTGCTCAGCCTGACTACCCTCCTCGCTCAGTTCACCACCGCTAACCCTCCTCATCTTACGATACACCCCGACAAACCCACCACCAGCCACCCTCTCGCCCACGAGAGGCCTCATGATCTGCACCAGGGCCGCCCCATCATCCCGCCGCTTGGGTACTACGGTCTTCACCTTCCACGGCCTCCCGCCCTCCTTGCCCATGACACCATGCTCGTCCGACGAGTCCGTCGGCAGCTCGACCACACGATCCTGCACGAGCGGCTGTCCCGTCGAGCTCGACCAGGACTCAAAGCTCGCAATCTGCGAAATGCTCGGTGTGAAAAGCGTCAGCGTCGCGTTGACGTGCATGCACCGGATGAGCAGCTGCGCGTGCTCGGACGCCGTGGGCAGGTCGAGCACTACGCGTGACAGAAACGGGCATCCATCACGCTCATCCAGGCGCTGGGTGAGATACTCTGGGATGAGGCCGGCGTGGAAGTCAATGTTGGGGAGGTACATGCCCCTCTTGAAGCCGTGGATCATGGTGTGCGCAGCGTGGGTGTGCTTGGGGTTGCGGTCGAGGGTGTGCAGGATGGCGCGGCGGCGGGGGAGGTAGGCGTCGGCGAGTGACTTGGCCGTGTCGGGGAGAGGTAGAGAGGCGATGGTTGTGGTTGCGAGGCGGGATGCGAAGTTGGGGGAGGTGGGAGACTTGGGGTCTCGGATAGAGGGAGGAGGAGGTGGAGGAGGAGGAGGAGGAGGAGGAGGAGGCTCGGCTCGGGGGGACCGAGGCATAGCGTCTTCTGCTGCTGCCGGTGATGTCTCCATGTCTCCTTCTGGTGACGACGAAGTCTCGGTCGCAGAGATTTGGTCAGCCTCTTCCAATGGCAAGGCCTCGTCACCACCATCTCCTTTGCTCTCATCGACACGCCTAGGCCTTTCCTCCCGCTTGGTCTGAGTGATCCTGCCCACGCCACTGCGCGAGAGCAAGTCATCAAGACTCAACCTGGCACCCGCTATAGCCTCACGCAGTTCCCTCGGTAGCCCCGGATTCCCAGCATGCAGTGTCTTGGCGATGTGTACCGTCAGGCTGCCCGCGCCCGTGCCGGCCTCGAACACTTCAAAGGGTTCGTCACACGTTTGGCCATCGTGCTCCGGGTCCGGCCTCTCCACGTTGATGTCCATCAGATTGACAATGGTCTGCGCGTCGGCCGGGTATATGGGCACCGCATGGCGGGGCGCGTGAACGATTGAGCGTGGGAGCGAGGGGGCGTAGAGGACCACATCGAGTCCGGTCGAGTCCTTGACAATGTCGAGCACGCGTCGCCCGATGATGCTGGCATGGGGGATGCGCGCGCCAAAGTGGAGTTTGACGGATTTGTCATGGGATGACTGGAGAGGGTGGGATAGGCGCCATCGTGCCTCCTTGGGGCCGCGTTGCTTTAGGAGGACGACGTCGTGTTCTGGGATGGCTGGTCAGCTGGGATGTTCGCGCGGTGGGAAGTAGTGTGCTATTGGGGGGGTTTAGCTACGCTCAAAGGTGAAGTCTGATGTCAGCGCGCGACGATCGGACGGTATGCGAAAGCATAATCGCGAGGATATGGACGATATTGACGTGCGAGGGCGCATTTTGCAAGGGACTAGACGTCGTTGTTGCATCGAATCCGCGTCGCGCGAAGCCCAAAAACTTTCGGTATCATCTCGGGGTTGGCTCGGTATTGCCTTCACCGCATACCGAATACCGCCGCATACACTTCATTCAACTCGACATGAGGTAGGGAGTAATTATATTGCAGAAAGGATCTAGACAATGTCTAGATCCAAAAGACATTTGTAGATTATACACAGACGCAGCGCGCATTCGCCGTCTTCTTCCCATGATGACTATCGTCCCAGAACGCCAGGCCCGTCCTCGCTCATAATGACCATAATAACACCGTGATCTCTTTTGGCTTCGCTGTGCTTCCCATGTCCAGACAAATGTCGGCATAACCCGTCATAAAGCCTTTATGTATATACTCATAGATCGTTTTCCGGTAGTCTCGTATGCGCTTGCACGTCGCTATGCTCACAGGAACCCCCACCGCGAGCCAGCACTGGATTGCGCCATCGCGGACCCCCACGACTCCTGGGACTCGTGTGCGTGCTCTATCGTGTGGAAGTCCTCTTCGAAGTAGGGAATGATCTTGACGCCCGTATGCTTCTCCAGCAGCTCTACAATCGTATCGTAGCGTCGGCGACAGCGCTTGGTCCAAGGATCGTTCTTGACTGCGCAGTGGTAGCAGTACGTGTTCGCTCGAGCATCCTTCACCCGGCAAAGGAGCTTGGCCTTCTTCATATCGGCCAGCAGCTCGCCGGCCGCCTGCTTGGTCGCCGTGCTGTTGGCGTCCGCAGCATGGAAAAGCTGGGTGACAGCGTACCGCAATGCGAGCAAGTCGCTAAAGTCAGCGCCCTTCTCCTGCTCCATCTGTCGATGCAGCGCTTTGAGCTCCAAGGCCAGTTTTTCCAGTTTCTCGGGGTCCTTTTGATCGTAGAAAACAGCTAGATCTATCCATGTGCGTGCCACATATGGATGGCGCCGGCCGTAGATGGCCTCCAGTTCCTCCGCAATCAGCGCCGCGCTGCCCCAGAGCATCTCCGAGAGCGTGACGGCGCCATGTTTCTGCTGGACCTCGTACAAGCACGTGAACACCTGTCGCAGAGGATGCGCCCGGTCGTGATTTGTAGTCGAGAAGGCGCCCACATACTTGCACAGCGCTGTCATGAGGCCCGGATCCCGACGCACCATACCGAGGATCACTTCCAGGATAGCCTGCGGCGACAGCTGCTTGAGGTCGATCTCGAGCTGATCGAATGCGTTCATCAGACATTGACCTCCCGAGTCCACGTCGCCCGCCTCAAAATAGAAGTTGGCCTCTGTGAGCATCTCGCTGGATGGCGCCCCCCAGACCATGATGGAAGGCCACCCGACTCGTCTCTGCGTCTCGAGCTCCCACTGCCGACACTGCGCGAAAGCCTTGCGCATGTTGCCCACCACCAGTTCCTGCGCGCGGACCAGATCTGGGGCCTTGGCCCATTCGGGGGCCGGAGGCGGCGTCGGCGTCCGGCAGCGGATGTGCGACGGCAGGTTGGCCGGGAGCTCGAAATCCACAAGATCGTACTCTGTGACACCCTTTCGCTTGAGATAGGTACCGAGGTTGACAATCTTGCCGTTCCGCACAAATTCGGACACCTTGCCCTCGGCGTCGCGCTGGAACTTCATCGACAGGAGTTTCTTGACCTCCTCCTCGGTATTGTTCTTGACAAAGCCCCACTGGGAGAATCGCGTCTTGTACATCTTGGGAGTCGCCTGGAAGTTGTACTTTTCCGCCATGATCGACATGACCTGCTTCAGTGGCTTTCGCTCGACGAGATAGAGGTCGCGGATCGTTGACTTGAGTCCCTCCCATGCCTCGGCGGGTACCTGCTCGCGTGATGCCCGGCTGCTCGCGATGGAGGGGCGTGGCGTGGACTCCTGTTTCTGTTGAATATTAGTCTGAGGCCCAGCATTTGCTTCAAGTCAACCTACAATATCGTCCGGCTCCGGCACGTCAATCAGAGAAGGCGTCAAGGGCTCATCCTTCACATCTGTCCTTGATTGCGTCACCGGCAGGAAAGGCTTCGGGGCCTTGGGCTTGGGGGGTTTGGCGGGTGCCTTGCCTTTGGATTTGGAGCCGGGGTTTAGCTCTAGGATGAACTGGCTGCCCGGCGTCGGCGTGGTTTTCGAGGACGAGGCTGGACGGAAATAACCTCCGCCGGGACTTGTAGCGATATTTCTGCTGGCCGGTCGCTGCAGAGAGGATTGCGGCTGCTGGAAGTAATTTTGGGGTGGTTGGTAGTGCTGGAAGCTCTGCTGCTGCTGTTGCTGCTGCTGTGGTTCCTCCTGGCCAGGCGGTCGCCAGATGGAGAATCCAGGCGTGCCTGACGTGACGCTCGGTGTGGTTGGCGCCGGCGACGAGATGATGGTGTCCTGGACATGGCCCATGCGGCTCTGGGCCACAAAGTCGTCTAGACTACCAAAGGGGTCAGAAGTCTGGCCTATACCAGGACTGCCTAGGCGATCATGGAAACTGCCAAAGGACGCCGGTGGTGGGCTGGTCGCAACGGGACTCATGGCCCTGGAGTGAGATGTCCCGTAGGAACCGAAACGACTATCGGTCGGGGTATGCACGCGGTTGCTGGCAAAAGAGGCGCTCTGAAACGGGTTGCTAGTGAAGGATTGTGCTTGTGGCGCACCTTGAAAATGATCAAACTGATTGGCCTGGTGGCCGATGGTGATGGGACTTGTCGCAGCGTTGCCTACATGTCGTGGTGGTAGAGGAGGTTGAACGTCCTTGTGTTCGAACTGTGCTATCAGACGGCCGACGCCACTTCCTCGAGACCCGTTGTCCGGGAAACTCTCTGGTTCCGGCTTGATATGTTGAAGATCATGGCCATCGGTCCGGAATTGTTGAGAAAAATCGGTCTGGAAATCCCCAGAGGGTGTCCAGTCCATGTCATTGCTGGTGGAGCCACCAAAGTCGCCCGTCAAGTCCTCCTGTCTCGATGGAGCCTGGTCGAAGCTGAACTTTGGCCATTCCTCTCGTGGTGAGAAGTCGTATTGGAAGGGTAACTGCTCGGGCTGCTGGTGCTGCTGGTGTTGGAAGTGCTGTTGAATAGGCAGAGAGGAGGCGGGCTGAGATTGCTGAAAGAATTGTTGCTGCTGATGCTGATGTTGATGCTGGTCCTGAGGAGGCTGTTGCCCTGCACCACCATAGTGTTGCAGGTGTCCCGGCTGGTGCTGCCCATGTTTACCATCGTCACCGCTGCCACTGTTGGAACCGAATGAGGCAGAGAAAGCGTTCAACTCGGTCCATTGCCGCTGATTAAACATGGCGGCGGGCTAGATCAGAAAAAAGGAGTGGTGGTGGCGCGAGACCAACAGTCCTGTCGTCGTGCGTCCAGTCCTCCAGGCATTCCTCGAGGGGGGGGACGCCTCCCAAACTCAATGAACGAGTGTCCTGGTTGCCAATGTGCCCATGTCGGGTGAGAAGAGGGAGCAAAAAGTCGGCGTCGTCCAGATGGAGGAGACTCGGACAGGCACACGGAGTTGCCGCGACTAGTGGGAGGCGAACGAGTCGGACACTGCCAGCCAAACGAAAGGTGTCGCACGACACTGCAGAACCAAAAATCCTTTCCTCCTGTCGTGGCGCGGGGTGGACGAAGAATAGGCAAAAAGCACGCAAAAGAGATAAGAGAAGCCTTGGACGTGAGTATGGGAGGGATAAAAGGAAACAAGAGGGCACTAGAGCAGGCAGAGGTCGAGACAGACAGACAGACGGACGGACGACGCCGTGACGAGCATAGGCGAAATGGAGCGGCTGTCGTAAAGTTCGCTTGTCCAGCGAGCGAGCGCCGTTGAGCCCTGTCTCTTCAGTCCAGCCCAGTGCCCTCGATACCTAGAACTAACTGTACGTGCTTGCGCCTAGTACATGTGGTCCGGGGTCAAGAGGGCCAATAGCCGAGGAGGAGATAGCGGCTCGAACGTCCAGCGAGACAAGAATTACAGCGACCCAGCAGCGGGACACGAGGAAGTGGGCGGAAGGAAAATCGACACGCGATGGAGTAGTTTCGTTATCATTCCCCAGACTTGGGTGATATGGGGGCTTTGCTGATTGGACCAGGGCGTGTGGACTCCCCTCTTTTCCCCTCGAGTCGAGCCGACGAGGTGCGCTTGACGTGTTTTGCAGGGCAAGCAAGGCTCGCAAGAGCAAGCCCGAAAAAAAGGATGGCAATGCGCAAATGAGCCACTATGCTCCGTAGATTATAGCCTAGCGCGCGCGCAGGGGACCTGCGACTCGTGAGCAGCGACATGGAGGCAGACCACTAGGCCGTTCAGGCAGCAAGACTCCGAGAGGGCAGGCACGTCCCGACCGCTAAACTCCCACGCCAAGGCCATGGAAAGTGCGCTAGTAAAAGTTCCTTCCTCTACGGCTTCCCAATGCGGAAGTCGTTCCTGCCCGGATCCGGATCTCAGGGACGTTACCGCCTCGATAGCCTGCGTTCCACGTCGCACAGGGCCTCGGTCTGCGCTGCAAAAGCCGAGCGACAAGATAAGATGCAGCAGGGGCAGCTGCTCTCACTCACGCGGATGGATGGTGGTGGTTGTTTGTCAATCAAGATACGCACATACAGACACTTGCAACAACGGTTCCAGGGCGGTTCTGGAAGCCGTCTAGAAGTTCGATTACCGCGCTCGGCGCTGCACGTGCGAATTTGGCCAAGGCCCCAGATCGTGCGGCAAGCCACCGCCAGCCGCTGCCAACCTCAGCGTCATACCCAGGCTGACGATGGACAAGTAACGTTGAACGAGAGGCCAGTACATCAGAACCAGCAATGAAAGCAGAAAAATAACAATTATCATGTGTCTGCAAAATCCCATGTCAACTTAAGGTACATAAGGTAATGAATAATAAGGTAAGCTTCGAATACGCGAGCGGCAGCGCGCTAATGAGTGAATTGGCCTGACGCTCCTGCGAGGCTGTTCACGACGACCGGCATAATATTGATCATGTTGTTGTTGGTGAGGGGTACGGCGTGCGCCCGCTCCCTATCTACGTACAGCAATCGATTACGTTGCGAAGAAGAGCGCTTCATGAACAAAGTGATGAATGGTTGCACTGATCACTCGCCCTCCGCCTCCCGTGCTGACATCACCACCCGTCCTGTCTCTGCCAGCTGATTGAGCGGCTCGGCAGCCACCGCCCGAAAGCAGAAGGTAGGCATAAAAAGACATCTAATAGAAATCCATTGGAGGGAGGATGCAAGCAAGACCAGAAGCTGGAAGAAGATCGTCGCCAGGCAAAGGAGTCTCGGTCCCTGAGACAGGCGAGGCTTGATACAGCAGAGTGGCGCTCCCGTGTAATCAAACCCTAAACCAAGGGAACAGCATGAAGCATATGAAGCCGTCGCGCCTCGATATCTCTTGAGCAGCGCCCCTTTTCGACTTACGTTATCTTGGCATCAAATACGTACCTAGCTTTGCTACCGCGGCCATGGACTGCCAGTGGCTTATCGGGCGGGCTCCCCCAGTGTTGGTCCCGACATGTGCACGAATCTGTCGTGACGCATCGTCCGTCGTGGTGCCGCACGGTCCCCTCTGCAGCTAAATACAGCCCAGATGCGCACATTTACATAACCTTCCTAACCAGTTCACGCTTGACGTAACAGTTATTAGCCCTCTGAAGCCTCGGCCAACATCTCTGGGTGCCATGTGTTGCGTACTGTTCAACGCCTCAGGTCTCCCTCCGAACGTTAGTCAACGCAAACGTCAATCATCGTCGGCAACCCTGTGCAAAAAAACCATGCAGGCATGAACTCGTGAGGCCATCTGTCTCATTCAATTAATGCAATGATAATTCGTCTACCATCGCTCAAGTGCCGATGACGTTTATGTGCGGGCCGTTGGGGCCCTCTGAGAAGTGTAAGTGCAGCCAGGCAAGCATAGTGTATCCAGGTGTTACAGTCCGTATCCCCCCCTCGCCCCCTTTGCCAATAAGGTATATCCCATCATCCTGATCGTAAGTAAACAGACAGACGCCAGTACTCCAACACACAAGACGCAATGGCCACCGTCCGAGTGCGCATCACGGCACCTCTTGTCCCTCCTCTTCCTCCCAGAACTTGAGGCCCCCTTCCACACGTATCCCCCCACTCACCCACTCCCGCCCGGCGACCTTGTCCAGTGTCCAGCGACTGCGCGCACGCTTGAGCAGGCCCTCGGTAACCTCCATGGCGCCCTCGAGCCCAACGTCCATAAACTTCTGCGGGTCGCCGTCGCCCTCGTCGTCTGCGTACGTGACCCAACGCCATTCCACCCTCGCAATGCGATGGCTGGTTCGACTCCGCATCCTGTGCGTGTCGCTCATTCCCGGGTGCGGGTCGAATGGCAGTCGTGCTTCCAGCAAGGCGTAGAGCAGTACGCCCAGCGTCCAGGCGTCTGTTGCGCGCCCATCGTACGGCTGGCCCATGATGACCTCGGGGGCCGCGTAGTCGTCTGATCCGCACCGTGTCTCGAGCTTCTCGTCCAGCGTCGTGATCCGTCGGCTCAAACCGAGATCGGTGAGCGTGGTGATCGAGTTGGGGTAGGTGAGCCAGTCAATGGCTGGATTCGCGAGCTCAGCAGGTGTGACATTGACGAGGACGTCTGGCAGTGTCAGCAAGGCTCATGGGGGCCATGTGGGGGGGGGGGGGGGGGGGGGGGACCAAGCAAAAACAAGATGTATCTATTTAAAAAGATAAAAAATGTTTTTGAGGGCGCGGC